TTAAACAAGCGCTCTAACCACGGCGCAGTGTTTAAATTTACTATATATATGTATAGTAAATTTATATATATATATATATATATATATATATATATATATATATATATATATATATATATATATATATATATATGGAATGTATATAATTAGGTACATGGAAATATCCGTTTTACGGAACCGAATATTGTGCTAAAAAACTGTGCCACGCTTTTTAGATTATTTTTTAGCTAGCGTAGGGTTTAGTTAAAGAACTTTTTAGAATTTAATATCAGTATAGATTATTTTTAGAAACTAGAATAGTTAAACTTTATTACTGTGAGGTTTATTATTTTACTAGATGGCTTTTTTATTGAATTTTTTGATGTCTAAAACTTTGTTATACTTTGGGCATGAAATTAATGTCGAAGATATGCTCATTTTTTTTTTCTGTACTATTCTTTTTTTTAAGTTTTTCATTTATCTATGCACCTGGAAAATTTCATTGAAAAAAAAGTTGTAGCAGGGTGTCTATTTTTTGTCGCACTTTTGGTACCTAATTTTCACTTTGCTGAAGTGGTTGCGGGAGACAGAGGGGTTAAATAAACATTGTTTTTATTTGATTTTGATTAAATAAAATTTTCAGTTTTTTTTTTAGATTAAATAAAATGGAAAGTAGAGATATTGATAAAAGTTTTTAATATTGTTTCCTATTTATTAAATTATTTATAAATTATTTGCCTTCAATGTAAAGTTGTAATGTTTCCTACTTTAAAGTTGAATTTTTTAAAAATGTAACTGACATATTTGTAATATTATAACATATTTTATCTTACATTGTAAGTCTCTCCAATAACAATTGCTATATGCTTTTACTTGTTGTATCATGCATCTTTTTCTAAAAAAGTCTAGGTAAAAACTAGACTTTTTTTTTTAATGATTAACTGTTAATCTTTCAACTGTAATAAATAATATTTATATTATTTATTACAGTTGATACAGATATAATATGGTCATATATAACTAATATATGTTAGCAACCTTATTCAACTGTTATGTATATATATATATAATATATATATATATATATATATATATATATATATATATATATATATATATATATATATATATATATATATATATATATATATATATATATATATATATACTGATATATATCAGTTAGTTATTTTACACATTCAATATTGATTAGTTTTTTTTAACTTAAGATCAATAGATTTCGTCTAGACAAATGTTTTTATTATTTTGTTAAAAAAAGTTTTTCATTTGTTTTTAAGATGATACTTTTGAGAGGTTAAGTCAGTTTTTTTTTGCGATTTATTATTTTAGTATTTAGTCTTTTACTCTCAATATTCAATTATATATCTTTATTATGCTATGTTTTTTGTGCAGATTTTTGAACATCCACAAATTTTTTTTAAAGTTGTTTATTTATATATTCCTGATTGTTTCATGCTTTTTATTGAATCATTGTTATTTTTTTTCTACAGGCAATTTAGAACAAATTATAAGTAAGTAAAGTTTGAAATATTTTAGTTATTTAGTCATTTAAACTTTTTTTTTTTTGTAATGTTAGTGTTATAAATTAATCTTATAATAAAGTAAGTAATTTAAAGTTGGCTTTTAGGTGAATTTAGACAGCAGATCTGTAATTTTAGTAAATTTTAATAATTTCAATAGTATAGTTTAATGATACATGCTAACTTAAGATTATTACTTAATTGATACACAAGCTAAAGGTGTTTAATTTATTGATACACACTAACTAAAGATGTTGTAGCAAAATTTGTAACTTGAAATTAAGTTTATTTTAGTAAACATTATATTACTATTGTTATTACTTATTTCTTTTTAACTCTTTAGCAACACTTACTTCATTAATTGGTAAGAGATTAATCTGTATTTTTATGTGTATGTATTGAGAAATATAGTCTGATTTTGTGGATTATGCAGTATTATACTATTTAACATGTACTATGTTATTGTATATTTAATATGTACTATATATGTATATTTAATATGTAATATTTACATGTATCATTTAATCTTTTGTGTCATTGTATTATTTAATCTTTAATATCCTTGTCATCTGTTGCAGCTGGTAAGGTTTCTATATTATTAATTTGAGAGATAAAGTAATTAAATGCAAGTTCGTGTAACGCGTATAAATAGAGTTAGCAATCGATTGCATTAGGCTAAAATTAGAGCCAATATTTCCCAAAGACAGGCATCCAAGTGCCAAAAAATTGATGAAACAGAAAGTTAGAGCAAAAAAAGTTAGAGCGTTAGCTATCCAAATTGAGTTATGATGAAATTATAGGTTCATACAAAAATTTGTCTATGACCAACTTTATAATTTAGAAGATATCATGTATTGAAGAATTGTAGGCAAAAAACTATATCATGAATGATACGATCCTAAACATCCAAGCCTGTTTTGTATAATGGCAGAGTAGAAAAAGTATTTAGTTGAAAAAATGACTTAGTTTACACTATTTCTTACTGGAAAGATGATGAAACGTATATGGAAGCTGTTGACCATTGCATGAAAAAGATCCAGCTTGTTGCAGATGTTATTTCAGAAGAGTTACAATTTTATTAATTTTATATTATATTAATAAAACACTGTGAAAGTACAAGTTTGAAATTTAAGCTAAAAAAGTACTACAAACGAATTGCTGAAAAATACTACCAGTGTTGTGACTAGCCAAAAGAAATTTATTATTGTAATCATTCACTAAAAGCCAAGACAAAACTATATGAGATAAAAAAATAAACAAACCATTATTATTTCTTTTTAATAACATTTTATTTGTTTTTTAGTTTGAAACAGCCAAGTGCTATTTGAAAGATTTAAAAATTATTAAAGGTTGGTTAGTTAAATGGATATCAAAGCTGTAGAACATTGCATGAAAAAGTTTCAGCTTGTTGCAGATATTGTTTCCAGAGAGTTGACTAGATATTATTTTGTTAAAACACTGCAAATATATAAATTTGAAATTTATAGATTAAAAAACTGCAAGTATTGTGACTTGTTTTAAAAAAAAAGTACTGCTAGTGTTGTGACTTGCTAAAAAAGAGTACTGCAAGTGTTGTGATTTGCTAAACAAAAGTACTTTAAGTGTTGTGACTTGCTAAAAAAAAGTACTGCATGTGCTGTGACTTGCTAAAAATAGTACTGCAAGTGTTGTGACTTGCTAAACAAAAGTACTGCAAGTGTTGTAACTTGCTATGTATTTTTGATAGACGGCTCTGGCTTACCTTCACGCAGTGTCTATTGTTAAAAATGATTATAAAATAATTTCATCAGTATAATTTATCATTGTAATCACTCACTAAAAGCTAAGAAAAAACTTTATGAAACAAAGCATCATTAAAATAATCAAACATTATTTAGTGTTAATAACATTTTATTTATTTTTTAGTTTGAAACAGCCTAACTAAGGTTGGTAAATACCTTGTTTTGATTACCTTTTTACCACTATTGACTGATAATAGAAGTCACTCTGAATGAGAATATTTTAACCAAAAATTCTCCAATTAATCAAAAATGCTTTTTTTTAAAAAAAATGTAACTTTTACTGGGTTAGATATATTTTTTACTTCTTTGTTGTTCTTCTTTAAATAACCAATCAAATATTTCATAATTAAAATTTTTTTGCAATATTAGGGTGTGTTAAAACATGGTCAACACATTTAACATGAGTTTTACACTTACCTTCAATGTTTGGTGGTTGTCCAGTATTAATTTATAGAACCTTTTTACAGAAAAAAACTTTTAATTTATAGAACCTTTTTACAGAAAAAAACTTTGTTTTGGGACTTTAGGAAACATAGTTGTGTCATTTTAATTTTTTTGAATTTTTTTTTTTTTAGGTTGGGGGGGGAGGGAGGGTTTCTCGCCCCTCCCATACATCGATGTAAACACGACTTAAATTCGTAATAGTACCACCACATAAATTCTTGTAGAACATAATTTTATATTGTATACTAATTGAATCCATTTTAGTAAAGATAAAAATATTTATGAAAACAAGTCTTTTTTGATATTAGGGTGTATCAAACCATCACCACCACACTACCTCCAACGTTAACATACGCCTCTTATATACTCTGGTGGTTAAATATAATTTTATAACTATGTTTTTGTATATTTAAAATACTTATGTCTTGAAAAAAGACTTTTTTGTGTGAAAAAAAAGTCTTTTTTCAAGAAAAAATGTTTAGTTTCATACGGGTAAGGTGGTGGTTTGGTGCCCCCTCTGTCCATCTGATACACCCGGTGGTTAGAGTTTAACAAAAATTTGTAGCCCACTCTTACATCTATCTTTTGACACCAAGGTATTTGTATTTCAATAAGAATTAATAAAGTTATGACAATTTAAGTGAAGAAAAACATAATTATGACCACAGTTTCTTCAACAATTCCATATATCAAAAAATCAGTACTTAAACTGTCATAACTTTTGAACCAATTGTTCGTTTTTGATAATTTTTTCACCTCTAAAATACTGTATTGGTCCTCTTTATAATGATATATAACAGTAGAATATTTAAACAATTTGAAATTTTTACTCACGTACCTAATATAATATATATTATATAAATATATATATATATATACATATATATATATATATATTATATATATATATATATATATATATATATAATATATATAATATATAATATAATATATATATATATATATATATATATATATATATATATATATATATATATATATATATATATATATATATACATATATATATATATATATATATATATATATATATATATATATATATATATATATATATATATATATATATATATATATATATATATATATATATATATATATATATATATATATAATATATATATATATATATATATATACTTAAACACACACACACACACATTATCATATATTATACTTTTTTAACAAAATGTAATAGTAAACATAAATTATTTTTATTTTTAAACTGCCGTACCAATTTTATTAATGGTTGCACGTAAAATTTTTCCAAGTCTCGGTTTGAAAACCATATATGACACTTCTAAAGTTAAATTGAACCTCTCAAGGTCATCAATTATTTCACTTTTATTTATATGTATTTTTCCAAATGCAAAAGGAACACCATTCAAACTATTATTATAAACAAAAAGGTCTTTATTTAAAGTTTCTTTCAAACCAATACGAATACTATTTATAAACTTTGGAGACATTGATAGCACCTTTTCATGTTCTACTTTTTCAATACATGAATGGCTCTTCAAAGCCATCTTCAAAGCGTCTTTGTAAGTTAAATGAATAAAATGTTTATTTTTATGATGAGAGAAAGACATTTGATTAACGACTAAAAATTTAGCACAAAAACTTTATACTTTTTCAAAAACTCCAATTTCATAAACACATGGATTGTGTACAACTAGGTCCGTGCACAACGAATACTGCCCATTTGCCGGTACACGAATAAGGTTGGAAGAAGTTTATTTATACATTCAACACACACGGCTGTTTCACTCAATATAAAAGCGAGCCTGACGTCACGAGTTTATCAAAAAAAAAAGTATTTCCGCATAAAAAGTATAAAAATTCATTAACTTTAAAATAATAGTATTTTTTTTCTATAAATGCTTTCATCTTCAAATAAAAAAAATATAAAAGATCTATCTTTCCTTGTTAAATAAACATTTACATTAAACGGAATAAAAATGAAAGCTGTAAAAATATTGTTAATAATTTGGCATCACTTTTCTGATTTTTGCGATTTTTACGCAAAACCTGTCTTAGGCCAACTAAGATTTGATAACATAGCTACATGGTCGATGGTTGAAATTTAGAACAGTTATTAATGAATGTCTGTTCTATCTAGATTTCCACAGACTTTGCAAGTTTTTATATAGAAAGTTAGTTTATAATGCATTTATATTTTTGTTTTTATTCGTTTTGAATAAAAAACATAACATTTTTGAAAAGTCTGTGGATTTAGTAATACTTCAACCTTATATGAATAAGAAAATCAAAAAATTATTTTCTGTACCTCTAGCTATGTTATCAAATATGTTTTCAAACTTGGCATGTTTAGCGACATTTTTTTTAGTTTTTTTTGCATAAATTCTTGTTTACATTTTAAAGCGGTGACGCAAACTCTGATCGTTACGTCCCCAACGATTATCGGATGCATTTTAAGAAAACAAACAAAACAAACGAGACACATTTTATAGAATAAATAACAAAGTTTGGCGGATTAATTTCTCTTGGATATTTGACTAATTTCAGATAAGTTGATTAATCCGATTTTATCTAGTACATCTATTCGTCAATATTATTCTATTTAAGTTGTTTGTATTATAATTTTATTACTATATCAATAAAGATTATAAAGCAAAGTTTCGTGGATTATTTCCTCGTGGATATTCGACTAATCTCAGATAAGTTGCTTAATTCTTTTATTTTTAGTGTATTTATTTGTAAATATTATTTTATTTAATTTCTTTTATTATATTATTATTATAATATCATTATCATTATTTATGTGATGTATGCAACTGAGAGGGAAATTTTGAAACTGTACATCGGTTGGGAAGATGGTTGGGAAAATGAGTATAACTTTAATTTTGTAAAGCGAGTAATTGAAACTAGTAAGATCACTAACAATGTGATTTCAATTTTATTAACAGTTTTTCATCCAAAAGCGTTGTTTACTTTTTTAAGTTTTCTTTTGCCAATTGAGTTTAATATGCCTAATATTGATGTGTTAAATAAAATGTGCCGAAAAATAAAACAAAGAAAAAAAGATTCTAAAAAGTATTTTGAAGCTTCAAAAAACGAAGAATTTTTAAAATGCAACTGTCTCCAGCTCCACAAACAAAAAAAACAAAAATAAGCAGATGCAGATAATTTTTATATTTTAAATAGGAATAAGGAACTAAGTAGTCAAGTTGAACAATTAATTTCTAAAGAAAAAAATAATGTGGATATTAGTTTGATCAAACTAATATCAGATAAGTTGTTAAATCCACTTTTATCTACTGCGTATATTTGTTAATTAATATTATTTTATTTGTTTTTATTATATTGATTAATAAGTCAATATTATTTTGATAACTATGTATTTAACTGAGAGGGAAATTCTAAAACAACATATTGGATGGAAAAATGGTTGGGAAGATAGGTGTAACTTTCCTTTTGTTAAGCGATTAATTAGGACAAATCAGTAACAATGTCATTTCCATTTTAATGACAGTCTTTAAAATAAGAAGTGATTTATTTAGTATTATGAGTTTTCTTTTTCCAATTGATTTTGATATGCCTAGTAATGACGAGTTTGATAAAATCTGCCTAAAGCTAACACGCCAAAAAAAGAAATATAAAAAAATTTTAAAGCTTTAAAAAAAGAAGAATTTTTTAAAATGCAACTGTCGCAAGCTCCACCCCAAAAAAAAATCAGCAGATGCAGATGACTTTTTCACTTTAAATAACAGTCAGGAGCTACTGAATCAAATTGATCAATTAACTTCTGAAAATAAAACAAATATGGTGCAAATGGAAAAATTTAAAATGCAAGTATTTAAGTTGGAAGCTGAAATTACAGATTTAAATTTTAAAAATAGGGCTCTCAACACACATTGTAACTCATTAAGTTCTCAATTAGAGACTATGAGTATTAGGCTAAAACAGGAGGATCAGTTCCAACTTTAAAAAAAAAATTAAAACAGCACAGCGTAAATTTGCATCTGCTCGTGCCAAAAATGAAAAAAATAAATGCTTAAGCTTTAAATGTTTTGACTAAATATTCCAAAATCGAAATCTGGCTTTATTTTGCAATGCAATGAATTTATTGGCTTAGGAAAATAAGTTTCTAAAACAAGAACTCCTAGGTTTAAAAATGTACTCTTTTAACAGCTAATCCCCCTTTTAACTACATTTTTCATAACTTTGCGAAAAGTGCGGTTTGCTTTCAGACCTCAATAAAGTCTGTTTTAGCTATCCTTAAACAATTAAGTAAAGTTTTTTTGTTTTTATAATAGTCAAACAATAGGTATATTTGAGAATAACTATCAGAAATAAATTTTTCTGATATTTTTTTGATAAAAAGTAACATCAAATTACTTGAATTCAACCAACTTCATCATTTGTCGCGTTATTTTTAAACTTAAAGAAGTTTTTTTACTAATGTATTAAATGTCGTAAGATGAAACATTTTATTGGTGTTTTTTTTCTTTTTACAAAACAAAATTATCTTTAATATTTTAAAAGTTATAGAAGTTTTAGTAACACCCCTTAAGTCAATATTTTCAAAAAATAACAAGAAGCCGTTAAGCTCGGTTTGAAACAGCCGTGCACACATAGGCGTATAACGCGCTGGGGCTCGTACCCCATCCGGAAATATTTTGTAATGTTTAAGTAAATTATAAACCATAATATACTTAAACATTAACAAATATAATAATTTAAAAACGATTGTAATATTTCCGCAAATACCTAATGTGATTTTCAAAAGTTTAAGCTTTCAGAAGTTTAAGTTATTTTTCGAATTTCAGAAATTCAACGCTTCTGATAAATCTCAAGGGAGTTTGAGATTCGTAAAAATGTAATAAAAAGCAAATTAAAGGACTTCAAGTTTGCATAAAAGAAGTTAATCCTTTAGGTTAACAAAGTTTAATTTGCTCCTTTAAGGAGCAAATTAAACTTTGGCACTATTATTTGTATTAATTATTTATAAGTTTTGAAATAAAAATCATTTGAATTAAAAAACGGAAGTTTTTAAAGAAATTGTTTAATTGTTCAACAGTACATTGACTTATAAATAATAAGTTGTACAACTTGTACAATAAAAAAGATTAGTGAATACTTTTCAAAAAAAGAAAATGAAATTGAAACAGTTGAACACATTTGAATTGAAACAGTTGATTTTCTAAATCTCAAAATACTTATAACTTCCAAGATAATGCTTGTGAAAGTTTATCATTTGTTCAGTCAGATGATGCAACTGATTCAACCACTGTTGTTGAGTCGCCGTCTTTTACAGAGGAGCCTGGAACTTGTTGTTCAAGACAGCCATCTTTTCCATCAAAAAAGGAAGAAAACTTAAACAAAGCTGGAATGAAAAATATAAATGGTTTCTACATGACCGTGAAAAAGAAAAATTTTTTTGTTCTACCTACATCAAGGCTACTTGATGGATTCTTAGAAAACTATCGATTATATATATTACGAGTAACTATTCCGCCATCATCAACTGGTTAGAGGATTTTGAAAATCATTCTGATAAATCAGCAAAAAATAAGTCAGAAGCAGCGGGTTATTTGGAATCTTTTTGTAAGTTTGACACATTTTTCAAATTGGAAATTTTGCGAATAATCTGCTAAATGCTAATACAGCACTCCAAGGTAAATATTGTTTTATTTCATAGTGTTTTTTTTTTATATATATTATTATAATTAAATTATAATGTTAAACGTTTATTGAAAATCATTTTAGACATGCATCTTAATTTTTGGAAAGCAAGAAATACCATCAACACGCTTAAGGATGTGTTAAAAGAAGGTGATACGCGCTTCAAAGTCTTTTGGGATGCAACCGTTGTAGCAGCAGAATGTAATTTACTTGACTAACCAGAGATGCCACGGAAACGTAAATTTATATCAAATTTACTGGAAGTGGAGTTCCATACTTAGCTACGACTCCAGAGGACCACTACCGCCAGCTTTTCTATGCATCTCTGGATTGTGTTATAACGGGATTTGCGACCCTTTTTGAACCGACTGAGACCACTTTAGCCTTTAGCAAATGTAAAAATATTTGTCATTGGTCAGTGCTTGGAAATCGGATTTGCTGAGGTTTTTAACAAAGATGAATTTAAAGATTTTAGAAGGCTACAACTTCATCGCGATATATTTGTGGATCATGCAAAATTCAAAAATATTCAACTAAATGATTTTGAATCAGTTTTGAATGAGCATGTAGGCCATGATAGTGTCCTTTCTCACTTCATTCCACTAATTCTCGATTTTGTTAAACTGGTGAAGATTTTGCTATATATGCCTGCCACCTCTTGTACGTGTGAGCACTTTTTTCTTGTCTTTGGTAGGCTAAAGGCTTATTTGCGTTCTACAATGTCTCAGGAGCGATTGAATCATCTTGCTATTTTAAATTGCCTTCGCGATATTGTCTGCACTCTCGATCTTGATCGTTTGATCGTTGAGTTTATAATGCGTGCCTCCGTACGTATGAACAAACAAAGGAAAAATTTAACCTTTTTAAAGATCTTATATCCAAAAATGGTTTTGCTTTATACATCATTGCAATGTTTATTGAAAGTTTTCTATCAAGAGTGCTTATATGTTTCCTCCATGTTAAATTTTCGTCCAAAATAATACCTAAAAAGTTTACAGTTGTTTGTCTAGTAATATTTATATTATTGATTTTAAGATTGGGTAATTTTAAAGGA